ATTTAGATTACCACAACAACAACTACATGACTGAGAGGCAATGGTGGTGTAATAGTTTGTGACGACTACATTTGACCTTATTTTGTCCCAGAATGTTCATGGAGGGTTTTCCAGTGGTTTCGTGAGGATTTGTTCATCTGCTTGTGTGTTTGCATCATTCATTGTACATCTGTTTGCTATGTGGGAAATGCAGACTGTATCTTCTACTGTTGATGCTGCATGACAGCTGCCTGTTTTCTGACGCTGCATTCCCCTCCTTCTGCCATTAAACAGATAGACTGACAGCTTGTAGCCACCACTGGATGGGAGGTAGTTTCACTCTGACCAGTTAAAAACCTGCACTGACCCAGGCATCTCATTAAGAGCAGTTTAACCACGAGAATGGTGTGACAGAACCATTTCATGGTTTTAAACTGTGGTATAAGTTCAAACCGGAGCCTGACCCGTCCCCGAGCTGCAGGAATGACCTGCTCTCTAAGGTCCAACACAGATTTTCTTACAGGTGGCCTTCAGGGAAAGAAAAGCTCCTAATCTTCTTACTCCCTATCATTTTATTATATCTCTCCATTTTCAGACACCAGCAGGCATTATGAATGGGTGTGGATTGATAGCAGATAGCTGGCTGCTGCTAATTGACACTGCTGCAACATCAAATATCCTGCCTGCCTTTTTTATGTAGTGATCCTTAACAGTTAGGAACGGCTGCCTATAACTGTCCGAATATTTCTTCATGATCTCCATCCGAGGTCAGGTCGAGGGGGGCAGAACCCTACGCGGCGAGGCCCAGACTTCCCTCTCTTCAGCCACCTGGCCCAGCTCGTCTGGGGGGATCCCACGGTGTTCCCTTGGCTAGCCGAGAGGCATGGCCCCTCCAACGTGTCCTGGGTCTTCCTTCAGGTCTCCACCCAGTTGGACATGCCCTAAAAAACCTCATCAGGCAGGCGTCCAGAAGGCATCCTAACTAGATGCCCGAGCCACCTCAACTGGCTCCTCTCGATGTGAGTTCAGACTGACTGGGAGCGTAAAAAAATTACAGCATGAAAAGAAACTTTACTGATAGATACGATCAATCGTAATGAAATATCCTCCAAAGGACACTGCTCAGAGTTGTGTGTCGGGAGTATTGGTTTTGGATGTTGAGCTGTTGAGTCCTAGCTCTACTAGTTCTACAAGGACTAGTTCTCAGGGATCACGTTCAATGTGATTCGCTCAATGAATGAATTTACAAGATTTAATTTCAGGTTTGGATTTCTTTGAGCTAAAGCCTACTCTAACACACACACACACACACACACACACACACACACACACACACGCACGCACGCACGCACGCACGCACACACACACACACACACACACACACACACACACAGGGATCAGCCTCTGAGCCATTCACTCACTGCTGTGTTCCCCTTTTCTAGCAAAAGAAGGGATTCTTGTTGTTTGATTATTTTTTACATGTGCTCCAGAGTCCATGAGGTGTGTGAAGTTAGTTTAGTGTATTTGATTTTAACAGTCAGGGTTTCCTTGGCTCACAGAAGTTTGTTTTATATCTAAATTTGTTTTTATCTTCTTGTCATTCACAAACCTTTTGAGGGAAATTGTGCTTCCTGGTGCTGTTCTCAACAAACCAGTTACTCAGGTTTAAATGTGGATCATTTAGATCAAATCACAAGCTGGCCTTTCATGCTCTCAAGTTCTACCTCATAATGTGATCCGTTTCTATTAGATTTGCATGTTCTGAAATGTCTTTCCCTTACCTTATCCATCTCTATGCCACTTTAAAATTCCTCTCTCAGAGATCAGCCATTAAGTCTCTGTGCTCCACCTCTCTTACCCTTGGCTGCCTTCCTGAGTCTCCTTGACTCACAATCAGCCTTGTTTTCCCCTGGGACTGTAAAAAAGCCGTGCTAGCCTGTGGCCAGACGGATTTTAATCATTTATTTAGGGGCTGTAATGTTGAGTTCAACTCCAATTTCTCACTTAGTGCACGCTGAGACGAGGGGGAGTGAACCAAATGAACGGGACACCGCACTGAGCTCAGATGGGTGAACCAGTCTCAGCGATCCACTAAGAATCCCACTTTCTCTTGTGTCCAGTGGGTGCTGGAGGCTTCAGACAAATGTAGGTTGATGCTGCTCATATTATGCGTTCCTGCTTTGATGGTACCTCCTCTGGGTTTGCCCAGTGAGTCTTCAACGGGTCTGGCCATCGTAGAAAAGTTGTTCATTTGTCCAGATTCACTAGGATATGGAAGATTTGCACATAGCATCCTTATCCTGGAAACTGTAAATCGTGTCCCACATGCAGTCAGGTGCACAGCTTTTATGATGATCAACCAGTGATGTTGATCCATTGGCCAGTTTTCCTATTTTCCTTTCATGTCCACTGCCTTCTTTTCTTCTACATCTTGCCTGTATTGCTTTGTGGACTCGCAGTAATGAGGAACAGAGATATTTGCAGAGCAGAAACCAGCGAATGTCAACAGATGTGGAAAGGCCATGACTGCACTGACTGACCTTTCACTTAACTATTCATTTTTCTGTCTGAATGAAGATTCATTTAGTAAACTAATCATTTTTTCATCTCACTTGGTATTTAAGAGGAAGATGGGGTTTTTTTTCCATTTGGAGAATCCTCACAGAAGGTATAATCCGATTTTGTTTTCAACAGAGGGCACCAAGTCAGCAGAGTAATTCCCATTTAAATGAGAACAAACGTGCTGATTGGAGTCGGCTAATCAGCTGTGACCTTTCCTTTTCCTGAACAGCCCCCCCAGTAGTTTAGCCTGAGGTCAGATGTAAAATCGGTCTTTTCCTCTCCTCACCAGTGACTGTAGCCTCTTTTATAAGACACACCATGCCGGCAAATCGGCGTAATATAACCGCAATTGTATGTCTATAAACGTGCCATGCCGGCATGGCGTTGCACAAATTTTATGGCATTCGTTCCATCTCGCTTGGTAGTAATATTGCGGTAATGGTCTGTCGTATGCGCCCTGGTGCAACAGAGGCAGATGTGATGATGACGTGGGGAGTTGTTGCTGAGCTCCAGCTGGCAAATTTATTGAAAATGAAAGTTAACACAGGCAATAAGGTTTGCTTTTTCAACAAAATCAGCTGAGATGACAAACTGGAGTGCCGCAGCGCTCCCCGAGCCTCTCTGTTAGAGCTGAAGCTCAGATCACCAGAGACTGCACAGGGACTGAAGGGGACAGACACCTTTAGGAGCTGCTTGTTAAAAAAAACTTAACGAACCTTAACTGAACAAACTTCAATCACGATAAAAAGCAAGTTATGTCCAAGCTAAACGGAAGTCTGCGGCAGCGCAGAGACCGCCCCCGTACCCCCTTTATGCCGCCATCACCTAATCTTTTATAAAATTGCCACGATTGCGCCATATTACCGCCACGGTCTGATCTTATAAACGACCTTTATCCTCCCCAGGGAGCCGCGGCAAATCCCGTTTTGCAAACGCTCTGGTCCTGTAAAAACAGCTTGTGCTTAATAAATGTGTCTGTTTCTTTGCAGCAGACAGCTTTCACAGTCATTAGTCCCGTTATTGGATTTAATGACAGGGAAAAACTCTTATTGGGAAATCTTTTCAAGAATAATGACCCAACTCCGTGCTAATCGACTCGGAGCCACTGAATACAGTGAAGCGGTTGGAGCATTTCATCTTACAGATGAGTTGATTTATGCACTCAAAAAAGAGACCTAAGCATTTCATCTCATGGAAGTCAGAAGAATGAAGGATTAAGCTAAAAAAGCTCAGTGACAAAAAAGTGCAAACTTTTGACTAATCAGCAAGAAGGACTGAAGATCGATAAGGACTCTGAGGGCTTTGAAGCCTGTGAGAAGTTTCCCAATCAATGAAGCCTCGCTTGCTTATTAGTGTCTTTAAAGAGGTGAAGGAAACAAGCAGTCCTCCTCGACCAGTCATCACCTGTGGGGTTCAGACCAAAGACCACAAGGAATCTCTTGCCTTCCTCATTCCACTCTCATCTTACTGTGACCAGTCAGTTCTTTTGCCTCATTACTGCGCAAATATTTACAAGTAATATGGAAAGTTGGTTCTTATTTTATTAGAGGAAAAAGATGACTTGTCAGACACAATAAAATAAACCCCTCATCTTTGGTTAAAGTCTTATGTTAGAGGCACCCAACAGCAGGCTCCCTGTCTCACCCTGTCATAAGAGAACCTCCACTCCAGCCTCTTCACCTCCAGCCTCTCTGCCCTACCCATTACTTGTGATTTCCTCTCTCTCTCCTGGCTGCATGCTGTTTTGGTCATCAGTAATTGCCTCAAATGCCTTCCTTCCCCTCTCCATCATGAAAGCTGTAATTTTGTCACACACTTGCACACCGGCTACCCATGCCAGGGCGTTGCACCTCCATACACCGGCTTAACATTGTTTTTCCATCAGTGGGAAATGCAGCAGGAAGCACATTTCTCATGCCTTCCTCACAGGATCATGGGGTGAATGCAGGACTCGACTCAATCTCATCCACCCAAATCCAAAGATCTTAATTACCTGTGCATGTTTAGTATGTGGTCATGTGGGGCTGATGACTATTTAATAATGAGACGTTTCCAGAATGCAAATGAGCATTTTCTAGGATTTCTCTCATCAAGAACCTGGAATCACATTAGCTGTTTTTCACAGACTTTGTATTTTTCTCCTTGTCTCTGTGTAATTTAACACTCCTATTTTATTCATGTTTTGCAGTTTCACATTCTCCATCTACTTAATGCTTAAATGTTGCATTGCAAATCACAGCAAGCATTACATTTAATACCTTTTGTGTTCAGCGCTCTTATGGATGACTCGCTTTTCACCTCTGCTTTCTGATTTCATTTATATCTACTCTAGCGATGTGGATGCTGATATGTGTACTTGTTGTACCTGGAAGTTTCCTTTCCTCTGTGCAACATTGATTATGATAATTTGGCTTATTAAGTCCTAGTTGATTCCATTTTCATCCCTACTGTCTGCGCAGGAGCAGAGCCCCAGTAACGCCACATCTCTGGCCATGATGCAGGAGCCGCAGGAGGTGGTGGAGGAGACGGTCACCATAGAGGAGGACCCCGGCACCCCCACCTCTCACGTCTCAGTGGTAACCTCTGATGATGGAACTACGCGGCGCACAGAGACCAAGGTTAAAGAGAAACACAACTAGACCGATCTTAGTGGACTGATAAAGTATATCAATTCAATTCAAGTTTATTTATATAGAGCCAAATCACAAGAGTCGTCTCAAGGCACTTCACATAATAAACATTCCAATTCAGGTCAATTCATTAAGCCAATCAGAAAAAATGTTTCCTATATAAGGAACGCAGCAAATTGCATCGAGTCACTGACTAGTCACTGACTAGTGTCAGTGACTTTACAGCAGTCCTCATACTAAGCAAGCATGCAGCGACAGTGGAGAGGAAAACTCCCTTTTAACAGGAAGAAACCTCCAGAGAATCCTGGCTCAGTACAAGCAGCCATCCACTACGACTCACTGGGGATCGAGAAGACAGAGCACACACACACACATGCACACACGCACGTGCACACACGCACGCACGCACACACACACACACACACACACACACCAAATAGTGTTTCTATGGTTACATTGTGATTTCTTTGCAAATATTCAATTTGGTGAGACTTCTGACTCAGCTCTCTCTTCACCACGACAGAGCCCCCTCCATGAGGCTACCACAGCTCAGCAGAACATCATTGTAGCTTCTTCTGGGGAGAAAAAACACTTTGAGAAAAATCAAGTTAACAGCTGAAATTGCAGGAAATAATACAGTTAAATAGCAAATTGTAGAAGAAAGTAGTAAGATTGTGGGAAGTGGTCAGTGTGTCCTCCAGCAGTCTAAGCCTATAGCAGCATAACTACAGAGATAACTCTGGATAACCTAGCCTTTTTAGATGGAGTCATGCTGGAGGCAGGGCAAGGGAGAGCCGTCTTTACCGACTGTACACTCCACCTCCCTCTACTCCCCCACTTGTCCACATCTAGGCTAACATCAGATTTTAACCATAAGCCCTATCAAATAAAAATGTTTTAAGCCAAGTCTTAAAAGTAGACAAGGTGTCTGCCTCACAGACTAAGGCTGGGAGCTGGTTCCACAAGAGAGGAGCCTGATAACTAAAAGATCTGCCTCCCATCCTGTTTTTAGATATTCTGGGAACCGTCACTGTTTTAGCTAAATATATTGGGGCAGCAGCAGTAGCTCAGGAGTTAGAGTGGGTTGTAGGTTTGATTCCGGCTCCCACCAGAGAATGCTGCTGTTGTGTCCTTTGGCAAGGCACTTAGCCCTCCTTGTTTGCTGGTGGTGGTCAGAGGCACCGGTGGCGTCTGTGCTCAGTAGCCTCGCCTCTATCAGTGAACCTCAGGGCAGCTGTGGCTGCATTGTAGCTCATCACCATCAGTGTGTGAATGTGTGTGTTAATGGATGAATGACTGTAGTGTAAAGCACTTTGGAGTCCTCTGACTCTGAAAGGTGCTATACGAGTGTGGGTCATTTATCACATGTTTAGGAGACTTTTAAATTTACTTCTTCATATTATATTTTATTATCGATTATAAAATACTAATTAAAATGATCTGAAGGGCCAAGGAAAGTCTTCCTGCCCTGCTAGAAAAACAAGCTTAGACCAGCACATGTTGTGTTTTGGTGCTGGTTTAGCTGTTGGTCCAGTGCTGTTCCAGACAAGTATCCCATCCTGGATCAGCACTAAAACACAGCATGTGCTGGTAACCAGTTATGTTGGTCTACACTGTTCGTGAATGAAGTTGCTGCTTTTGTTCCACATGAAATCAGATAAACTCACATTAGCTTAATTATTGGTATCGGACTATCCAATCCCACATTTCCATTCTTAGGAGGTCCAGAAATCCCACTCCTCCCTTGTGGCATTATTTTATATTTTAAAGGATAACGAATATCAACACCAACAGATGTTTGTTTCCCCAGTATTGAGCTTTCTAAAAGCTCCTTTGTTGACCTGTTTTCTGATTTGTTCTGTTTTTCTGAAAGGATATGTCTACTAATGTGAAGGTGAGTGGACTTTTATACCACCGAGGCTTTTGTCACTCTGCCACCATCAGATGTGTTCCTTTATAGGCTCGAGCAGCTGTGCACAACACAATCTGCGCCTCTGCAAACTAACTACACCTTCTAACGTGCAGTATTTTGTTTTGAAGTCCACTGCTTGCTGCCTCTACCCTTTTCAAAGGATCTGTCACCAGGAAATAGTGAGAGACATAATGTATAGCCCATTGACCAAGGACAAACCATGTGTTGGACTTTTAAAATATTGATTTCTGTATTCTCTTGTGACTGATTTGAAAAGTTTTAAACAGAAATCTGATTGGTTCAGTATCAGAAATATTTAAGTATACATATGTTTTCTAATGTCTCAGTAGTCTCCTGTCTCCTCTAAGTGTCCAAATAAACACAGTAGAAATAAATCAGATTGACGACTAAAACCCTAAAACACTTTCCTACCCTGGAGCCAGTGTCAGGTTTATCTGTCCAGTGAATTTAGCAATGCAGCATAGAGAACCTTCTGCAAAGGAAGTTGTTAATGTCCTGATTTTTGGTCCCAAAACATCATTTGTTCCCCCTCTGATTATATTATATTCGAATGAAACCATCTCTGCTTATTGGTCCACCTAAAAGAAGTTGGGATGCCTCCACGCTGCGAGGCTAACGGTTTGAAAGCAATTGTTGCAGCAGTTTGGATGCAGATATTAATGTAGTTACAGTCAGCTGTGGCTGGAGGCTTCCAGATGAGTGGAGAGCTGCGTGCAGCTCGTACTCCAGGGACTGTGAAACTATAATTAAAAGCCCAGTCTAATCCCTCATCAGGGAGGACCCATTGCCCTCCGGCCTGTTTACTGCGAGGAGATTGGCCACACATACACTCACATGTTTTTATGCTTTGTGGCACAGAACTTGTTAGGAATAATGCACAACAGTGCATGCAGCAAAACATCCGGCTAATCAAACGCTTTGCTGAGGAGAAGGAAGAACACGAGTTCTTAAGGCTCTGACACCCTGCAGAGTGACGAGATCCGCTGTGACTTTGAGGGCTAAAGTAGATTAGTGTTTGGGGTACGCTTCTGGAAACTTCCATCCCAGTGGTTGCAAATGGATCTAAACCCAACAATGAACCCCCTAAACCCATCACCTTCTCGTCCCGTTTCTTTTTCCTTCTTTCATGAGTTGCTTTCACTCTCACTCCTCCTCCTTTCCTCTCATCATTTACCAGAAGCTCAGTTTTATTTATGTGCATATCCATTCTTTTGAAGCAAAGTATTTCCACACTGTCTATTGCTATCACACACCTCTCCCTTGATGGTTATCGCCCACCTAACTGTTGGAAGATAAAACATGGAAGCTTCTTCCAGCTCCCTGATTCGCGAGGAGAAATCGTTCTTCTATGGTAAACATGTTTCTTCTGATTTAGCATCAGCAGCATCCATAGTTAGAGTTTTGAGTAGTTAAGCAGAGCTGTAAAAATCAGGATAACTGTGTTTGTGCAGTAGGTCCAGGGTAGGTTTCTGCTGACAAGCTTAGATATTGTGGGATAGTAAAAAAAAAACACCTATAAGTGGCCGTTTATGGTTAATAACTGCTGGTTTTTTAGAGGTTTTGCTCAGTTGTGCCCAGATTCAGTTGGCTAGATTGTGTACATGAGTATATAGGTTCATGTACACATTCTATTAGATCCACATTCATCCCCCAGTCCCAGCACAGCATAGCATACATGCCCTTGGCCATCCTCCAGCTCCTTTTTCTCAGGCAGAGTCTGAACACCAGTCATGTTAAGGCTGGAACAATAAAAGCAAAACTCCTCCTCTTTCCTCCAAATCTGAGCTAATGGCACTTTTACCACCCTGCACATCCTTGGGAGTCCACCTTCAACACTAAGTTAGAGTGAGTTAAATAGTTGTGCACAAAATGCCCAATAATTCTTTTCATTGGTTGCAACTGTTATGAGACATGTCAACAGAACAGAAGCATTTTAATGTTTGTCCAGACTTGAGGTTTGTCATTTTAGTGTGGCCAGAGTACTTATTAATGGTAAAGCAGCCCCTTGCCATGCACCCATTCCAGGTCACCAAAGTGGTGAAAACCATCACACGCCACAGGCTCCACCCAGTGACGGTGTCCCACGGCTTGTTAGTGGATTCCAGGGCTGCCACCCACCCCCCCACTCTGGTCTCCATCTCAGACTCCGCCCCCGCTGAGACTGACCCAGTAGGCACCAAACCTGTTTTTGAGTTTTTGGAGTTTCCCCTTTACCTGCCTGCTTCTAACACCTGCTTTTAGAGGCATGCATCATTTAGCTTCTGACTGCAAAAAAAACCCTACTGTTTCTATTTTTAGCACTTTGCAGATGCTCTCCAGGCTGTCAGAAAATCAATCACTGGTTTCACCATCACTGTCTGCTTAACAGCATAAATGACTGCCTCGACCTACCTCAACAATCCAGCCTCCATGTCCATTTATGCTCCCAGTAAAATGGACGTTACAGAGGTTATGAAACCTGTTGCAGTGCTTTAAATTGGACTCTTTGATGTGTGCTTCGTTTGTAATGGTTTAGTAAAAAAACCTTAGACGTTGTCTAACTCTGTGTTTATTTCAAAACATTTTCCCATGCTGCTGTGGCTTTCCACTAATGCAAAAATGCAAAAACATCTATAGAATTGCATACAATTGCACTCACAGCTAACTTGACATTTCTCTGTTAGCCCTGTTTGCCCACTTTGGCATATTTCAGAGGCTGAAAACCAGTCCCCCGTCACCCCTCGTCGCCCCTTGCGTGACAGTTTAACGCCTTGTGAACTTGAGCGTACATCAAAGACTGTTTGAAACTGGGTGATGGATTCCTTTGCAGCCGTCGCAGATTGACTGCAACGATACAAGCCAGCCTGGCACGTCAAGGCTGGGAAGTGGTAACATTCACCAAGCCATGCGGATTCTTTCAGCCGTAACTAATTAGAATAAAACATGATGCATTTTCATTTATTGTATGTAATAAAATAACCCTCAAGCTTTAATGTTGTTTTGAAAAAATTTTTCATTAAAAATGTAAAGCTCCTCATCCTGTTTTAAAGATATAGATTAATAAGCATACATAAAAAACATGCTTTACTGTTTTACTTTTATTGTAACACTTGCATTTCATGCAATGCAATTAGCACATGGCTAGTTAGCATAGCAACACAGACGGTGCTATTTTAAACCCACCATACCTATGTTTAGTGCATGTCAAAGATAATGTACTCTCAGCATGTATACTTCTCACATGAATAAAACAGCAGCTCACCAATATGACTGAATCAATGGAAAACAGCCCCATAGAGGGAGACGAGTTATTCTGTAGCCCGATCAAGAGAAGTGAGTGTATATATGCTGGGCCAGACGCTGTGCTTAATGTCCTCATGGACAAAGAAAAAAAGCACTGCATTCACTGCCGTTATGGAGCGATCACAGTTTGATTCTATGAAAATGCATAATTTATGCTGCTATTTTGCAAAGTTCTTATTTCATTGAAAAAATTGTGCAGCACTTTCTTAAAAGCACGTTCTGTAATTTGCATTTATCTACAATTGCCACAGTTTTTAACTCATCTTTAAGAAAACAAAAGGAACCTTTGGGGAAAAGCATGGATCGAGTTACTGAAATGTCAAGTATGTTCACACATTTAACATCTCTGCCTAGAAACACCCATCTATACTCACTGACCCATTCATCTTAGTTGAATCAATGCTTGAGGCTGCTGCTGGTGATGTAATTGTGGTGGGGTGTTCTTGTCTCACTTTGGACCCCTCAGCACCACCTGAGCCTAGTTTAAACACCTCAGCCTACCTGGGTATTGTCGCTGACCATGTTCATCCCTTTATAGCCACAGTGGATCCATCTTCTGATGGCTACTTCCAGAAGATAATGCACCATGTCACATTTCTGGACAATGAGTTCACCGGACTCCAGAGACCCCCAAAGTCACCAGATCTCAATCCAGTCCAGAACCTTTGGGATTTGGTGTAACAGGAGATTTGCACGAGCAGCCAACAAATCTGCAGAATCGGCGATGCTTTCATGTCCATATCGACCAGGATCAGGCTTTCAACACCATGCTCAATCCAAAGAATTAATGCAGTTCTGAGAGCAAACGGTGCCTTACCTGGTTATAGCAAAGTCTACCTAATTAAGTCGCCATTGAATGCAAAATGACCTGAAACAGTAGCCTAGCCTTTTATAAACAAACACATAAATAACTCATTCACTGCCAGCCGTTTCCTGATCAGTAAAGCCCTTCGCTGCCAGCGTTTCTCACCGTTTTTACTGTTTTTTTAAGAGTCACAGAACGTTGCGTGCTAGGATGATGTTGACGCCAAAACAACCAAAACAAAGCGGAGACTCACCTCTCACATCGGGAAGAATCCGAGTGTTTTGAGCTTTATCTTTTCTTTCATAATCTGTTGTTGAATTGTGATCGGCAGACGCTTTTCCGGTTCGCACCTCCCTTTTTTTACAGCAGCGGCCCAAAACGATCTCCTAACACATGAATTTTCTGCTTCCTGATCACGTGACGTGTGACATATGCGGATGAAGATCGGCTTTAGAGCCGAGATGTTTTTTCTCACGGTGCGGGGGCTCGTTCCGATGCCCACGCAGTAAAAACATGTAAATGACGACTTAAGTTGTCAATAGGAGTGAATGAGTTAAATACGTTCATCCCTAAAATTAGGCAACATTGCATTTAGTTGTAACTAATTTAGTTGATCATGGCTATCTGTTTGCACGTCAAAGTTAACACCAGAACAATTGCCATGTTCCTCTTCCATGAATTATAATGCTATAAATGACCTTATATCATAAGGTGATATAAGGTATGCTATAAATCCATAGTCCTGCTTATCCCTTAGCTGATGGGAATTAAGCAGATGTGGTCTTAATTGTGTCTGAGCAAAGTCAAGACAGAGCTGCATTGAAGCAAACTACTCAGCAATTATTTAGAACATGGAAATGAACCTTGATGTTCCTGGAATGGGTTCTGTTATGTGGCTCGATCAGGGTGTAATCAAGAAACAAGGCCAGTGTAAAGTTCTATTTGTTTCAGCTAAGTTAATGAGGACACGGTGTTAAACAACCAATATGTGGTCTGTGCTTTGGCCCCTAGCACGTGAGTTAATCCCTTCTTGTTGTTTCTGTTATTGTTTCATGCCCTAACTCGCTGTTGATTAAAATTGAAATTATTCTATCGATTGGAGAGTAAAAAACACTTTAAAATTAACAGAACTGGTGTTAAGAATGAAACCCATCAGATGCGAGACCGGACATTTCATTATCGCCATTTTTAGGCGTTTAGAGATCTATCAGGGAGATGGTCTGCTTGTGTCACATGGGAATGAACCCATCTGCATCACCTTGTCAGGCAGATCATGGATTTAATCAGATTTGCACATCTGCAGATGATGATTAATTTTCATCAACCTCATTCATTTTAAGATGAATTCATAGCTGCAGACAAAATAGCCAATTATTGGCCACAGCAGAATTCAGTGGGCAGTAAATTGGTTTCTATATGAGTGGAGAGCCCAGAGAGGCCGTTGGGTTTCTGTAATTCTCTTGTCAGGCAGCGAAGGAAGGGACGGTATTTAGCTGAAAGAAGAAGTGAGCATGAGGAATAGATACATGCTGGTCTGGTTGTCACGGTCCCCCAGCTATGCTACTCTGCTCCCTTTGGGGCCATGCAGGATCCGAGGTCCAGCGGAGCAGCAACACACTTTAAGATGTCTCTTTTACCACACACGGAGACTCGATCTGCTGATTCTACTTAATGTTTGCATGCAAAATTTAAGATTTTGCCTTTGAATTATTCGGAAATAATGTGCCTACTGCCTCATGCTATTGAATAATTACAGACACTCATAATAAATGACACAAACATTAAAAATGACAGCCCATATCTCAAAGCTTCTTTTTGGGGGTTCAGATTGCACAGGCATCTGTATTTAGAGTATCATAAAGTCAATGCCAGCAAAGTAATGAATCCCTGCTTTAGTCGTTACTAACTCGTAACACTAAAGAAGCATTAAAATCCACCAGATTCCATTCCGTTGGGTCTAAAACAAATGTCTTTTTTCCAATCAAGAGTAACCGATTATTTATGCAGGTGTGATTCTGACATATGTGTCTGATCCACCCTTCAGGTGACTAAGATGGTGAAGACTGTAACCACCAGGACGGTGCGACAGGTACCTCTAGGCCCTGATGGCTTGCCCCTGCCAGAGGGATCATCCCCACTAGGTAGCTACACCGATTCCATTGACCGACGTTACATGAAGAATGGAAGTGATCGCTTCATAACGCCTCAAGCAACCTCAACCCTGACCCGCGCCTACAACAACTCCTACAACGATTCATACGGCGAGACACCGGAAAGCCAGTACATCCGCCACTATGGCCTGCACGATGGATACACTGATTTGACAGAGAACTATGGTAGTCTCTCACGCGGAGTCAATTTCCGGCCACCGCGCTACCCCTATATGCCCAACAGCTACCGGCCAGAGAACAGCTACACACTGCCTATTCGTAAGGATGACTATGGCCATGTGGCACAGCCTCAGGTGCCTATGGGGAGCAGCACTGTGGATCTGAACCGCTCACAACCAGAACGCTTCCAGCCTGAGCCCTATGGCCTGGAGGATGATCGTCGGAGCTTGGGACCTGAAGATGAAGAGCCATACGAACTGGAACCAGACTACTCCACTGCCAACCGCCGCACCCTGCCGGGGCCCAGCAGGGGTCGCCCTCACAGGGAGCCTCTACGGGATGTACACAGAGTCAGGTGAGAATAAACACAAATCTAAGTTTTTCTGAAAATCTAGCATGAATCAATCTTCCTAAAACAGACTTTAGATGCTAATTTCTGATTTTAATATTCCAGATTGGTCTTAATTTGAACGATGTAGTAATAATTGCTTTTGAAAGGTTTTGAAAGTTCACACAATGAAGATCTTTTTGCATTAGCCAGAGATTTCCTGTTCATACGCATGAGCACAGCCTCTTCCCCAGAGGGAATATTAGGAATGCTAACATGAAGAATACTTGTCTTGTTCTGCCATAAGAAAGACCACAGTAGAGTAAACAGATGTCTCTTCTACTCGAGCAGCTTGTCTGAGAAAGGAAGCATAGAAACAAACAAGCCTTTTGATTGCAATTTCCCAACAAATGGACAATGAACATGTGTTAGTGTCAGAGGTAAAGAGGCAGGAATGATTTGAGGTGTGACAAGGGAGGGAGTGGATGCAAGGCAAGTGGTCGGCTTTTGTGAGTTATCTCTGCAAAGCCTTTTCTTTCCCAGGCAAACTTTGTTGGCAGAAAAAAGCCTGTTAGCTCCCCAACAATAGGATAGAAAAGGGCCTAATAGCTTTAAATCAGTGTGTTGCCACCCATGGCACGGAAGCCTGGGGAAGAAATGTCCATCCTAAAGTAAATAGAAGTAAGGGATTAAATTTTTGTCGTGAAAGTGTGTATTAAAGACTTTTTTTTGATCACTGATCTGTAGCAGATGGATTTTTCTCAAGGCTTCTGCACTTTACCACAAGTCTAAGAGTTTGGGATCAAGCCAGTTCTTAGGATAAGAGCAAAGTGGGTTTAGAAGCTAGAAAGAGCAAGACAGACCACAGTGTGTGTGTGTGTGTGTGTGTGTGTGTGTGTGTGTGTGTGTGTGTGTGTGTGTGTGTGTGTGTGTGTGTGTGTGTGTGTGCGCGCGTGCGTGTGTGTGTGTGTGTGTGTGTGTGTGTGTCTGTGTGTGTTTGTTTGGTCACGATCAAAGATGGAGTGACCTTCTGAGGTATTCAGCTTCCTAATTGAGGAGCTCAGGAATTTCCTGGGTTTAAAAGCTCCTGCCCCGGAACACATCCAGCCCAGAAGAGACGATGACTAATCAGATTCTCTGACCCTGGTGTAGTGGTTCAATAGTTACATCTTACGTAGGAAACCATCAAAGGTGAGATTCCATAGAAAATATGGAATCAATTTGAGGAATTTTGAATACTACTTTACACAGAAGATCGGAACTTTTTATTGCAGGGATTAGGTAACACTTCGTATTAATCCAGAGTCAAAAGAGAGAGAGAGAGTCAAAAGAGAGAGAGAGAGAGAGAGAGAGAGAGAGAGAGAGAGAGAGAGAGAAAGAGAGAGAGAGAGAGAGAGAGAGAGAGAGAGAGAGAGAGAGAGAGAGAGAGAGAGAGAGAGAGAGAGAGAAGTTTTAAAGTTCAAGAAGATTTATTTCTAAACAATTTAAAATAAGAGTAAATAACTAAACACTCTGTGTGATGAATGGATCTAGTGTGAATAAGGCAAGATGGATGGTGTAAGGTGGAATGTTGTTATCAGAACTCTCGTTTTCGGAGAAGCGTTAGTTCTGTGTGGGAGCGAATGGTTTGCTCTAAACTACAGTCGGAGTTTCAAAAACCACATTCAGACGGTATCTTGCCGCACTACATACCCTTGCGGAGACCTCCGTTGTAGATCCAGAATGCCAGGCCCTCGGACCCCCCTTTGGTACCGGAGCCAGTGAAACAACGTACGGTATGACAGACTAGCCTTGGGATTGCCGCCAGGTAAACAACAGTTGTTTGACAGCATCAGCAGGACCCTGAAGGGTCAGTGAGTTCAGCTTTTACTCTGAAGGAGCGTTGTGTCAGGTGTAGCTTGCAAAAGGTTTTATAATCCAGCTTGTCAGGTTCTTTGTGGTTAAAAAGTTACGAGTGGCCGGCTCTAAACTCTAGAACATTTGAACTGAGTTAAGGTGACGTGGAAATTAGTTATATATATATATATATATAATAATTCAGATGTTTTGATTTATGGTCGAATCAGAATGTGACACCAAAAATAAACACTGCACAGATCACGCCACGCGTCAGAAAGGAAAGCTCTGATTGGAGAGACAAAGGAATGTGTCATGTGATTTTAACATTACGTGTGATCAGTCTAGTGTGTAGTTTAAAGTGATATTACTTATTATAATACTATCATGGGATTATAATATCAAGTAATTAATATTCTCATTTCACAGATTGATTGAACATTGAGCTTTACATGATTATTTGGACTAACAAAGTTATTTGATTATTATTTAATAGAGAAAAGAGTTCTTGGTCTTCTTTCTTCTTGAGCTGTAGGGGGAGGCAAATAGCTAGTTAAAACAGTTTAGATGCAGAGGCATCAAGGGCCTTGAGCCATATCTCACGAAGATAAGTTCTTCATGAGGAGAGAGGGGAAAACAGTCCCTTCATGACGCTACACTGGCATTCACACTGCTTCTCACTGCATCTCACACACTTAATAAAGTCCCAGTCGTCAGAAAACAAGTCACTCCCCTTCCTCCGCCTTGTGAGAAACACTTAGTGTGACAGGCAATTTGTAGCCTGCCTCACGTGTGTCACAACACAGCCCTAACATCCGCGTACATGCTCCGACACATTTCCTGACAACCACTCACACGCATGCTCCAACGCTAACAAATCAGCCTAATTGCAGCGAGAAATGAAATCAAAACACTTCTTAGATTCTTCTCAGTATTTCCAGCACTCACATCAGCCTACATCAAAACCAATGCTATGCCTTACCATAACCATTTGTGTCATACTAAAAGTGACAATCTGCTCTTCTGGAGCGAGTAGATTCTCTTAAGCACCCAAGCTGTAATTAGTATTCTTCCAAGAAGGGACCAACGTCTCCAACGCGCTGTAAGGAATCTTAGATTTTAAGCACTCTAATTACAGCTTATCATTCTTGCAAACCTTCAATTATGCACAGACAAAAATGAAGATATTTAGTAGTAAAAAGGCTTTCTGCATTGGCGCCATGCTCTCATTTTGCCACCACATAGGCTCTTTTGTGTGTAGGCATGTGGATGGGGAGGATGATTTGTTGTTGCGATTCTCTGAATGGGTTTCACTCTTAGATTTAACTATAATGTTAGATATTAACTCATTAGGACCTGAGGCGCCCCTAAACACAAGCCCAACTGAATGCACATCCTACATGCAGTTTGTGTGGATGAGCTCTTGTGTCCTAGACTAGTGTGACATAACTATTACTGAGTATGCTGGATGTTTTGGAGTTTATTCAGAGAGCATGTTGCAAGTATTAAAGGGCTACTTTGCATTATTTTTCATATTTTTAAATCATTAACTTGAGCCAGCATGTACTTAAATGATGCTTTACAGGGTTAATTAAAGGCCACCTTGCTCCTATCGCCCCCTGTGGCCAGAATATTCCACTTTCTCCATCAGAGATGCTAGTCCGATCAGTTGAGCTGACATATCTGCTCTGCAGTCGGCTTCCTGCCGGTCTTAGATCATGAACACAACTGATTTGTTTGATTTAGTTAGGAACTGCTCATGTAGAAGAAAGGCTGGGGAGAAGTTTCAGCTGTTAGATTAAGGTGTTAAAAAGATGAATGCACAGTGAGGAGATAGGTTTTGCTTTCGGTTCTGCAAACCGACACTAGGGGATGCTAAAGGCAAGCCAAAATTGCCTTTAAAGCAGCATCCCCATGCATCATGTAACATAATGACATTTGACCTGCTCATAATGGAAACGCCCGTTTCTCTCCTTTACTCAGCTTTTCCATCTGTTTCTAGTATCTAGTTTTTTTGTTCGTGGTCAGGATGTTGGCACCAGCAAGGACTAGGACTTTCTGTTGTCTGTGTTGTCTGCGATGTGATCGACCTTCTTCTGGTAAAGTTGAAACGTGGCGCTTCGCCTCCATATTTGTGGAATTCTAAACTCATCTCATTTCTCTTTTCTCTCAAACTTTACTATCTAAAAGTTCTGCATATTTCTTTCTAACCCTAACCGTAATCTCCCGCTGCTGAAAGACAGACACAGATGTTTTTGTCTGAGAGCTCGCCTTTTATTAAAATAACTGGAACAATTCAGTTTTGGACTCTACCTTAAAAACCACAAACGTGACCACAATGCAGTTAGCTTAACAGACATTGATATGATTGTAGTTGCTAAGAATAATTTCCAACACATGAGGTATAAAACTTTGCTGGTGGCAAATTATCTAACGAACCTCTGGGTGGAGGTTAATAAAACTGTCAGACAGAAATCGTTGGATGTACGTCTAAAACTGATTAGCTTTTGGAGTTGACTCCCTTGATTTGCATCAAGTAAAGGAGACGTGACTAATGTGTCCCATGTAAGGAGAAAAAAGCACCTGCAGAAATGATGATCTAGTGATTCACAGATCAACACGACAGGTGGATGTAACCAATCTACTCACACACTGCAATGGTCAAACTAAAGATGGCCCAAACAGAAATGACCTAAAGTCAGTGAGTTCTGCAGATGTCAAGTTAAATTGCTAAGTGATTCATTTCCAACACATCATCTGACTTCTAACAGATCTTGTATCTTGTGAGACTGCACAGTAATGACATTTTCAAGATTTCTCCAGAACAGCTTTAAGCCTATCAAGTCCAACTTCTTAGAGGAGGGAACAAGGCATTACTGCAAGTGTCTCTAAGCATCGAAAGACTTGATCTTTATTACTTGTAGAATTTCTCCCAAATGTTCAGAGAACCTAGCCTGAGTGAGAGAAGAGCATCTGTCTATCTCAGGTCAGGCAGTGAAGAACTGTCTGGATGTGAGGGCACCTTACCTACCCCATCTCTCCTAACTCACTCCTGACATCCGCGTGACTCGGTGTGTGTCTGTGAGCTCCTTCCCGAGTGTGTTCGTGTCTCCATGCCAGTGTGATTAATAGCCACTTTTGAACTCTGCTGGACTGCAGGAGTGTCTGAGAGACAATCTCTAGAGGCTCAT